TATCTCTCTAATAAGTAATAAGAAACTGATTCCTATGCTTGAGAGTTTATGAAATCAATGGTCAAAAAGTAAAAGAAGTAACTTAGATATTTGAACATAAATTTGACAAATGCTAAACTTGGTCGAATCCTCGCACACCTACGTCTCCCAATTTGCCGCTCAAAATCACTTTGCCTAGTAACCATTACAAGGCTGTGTCCGAACATTACTTGGTTTAGCAACAGCAAATCAAATGTGGGGACTAATCTCTCTAGATTTGACAATAACACAGATACTCAACTCTGGAAATTACATGTATTCTCATAATATTACACAGCCTAAATCTCTACCTAAAAGGTGACTAAACACAAGCAAGAGCTCCAATCCACTGAGCCACTTCATCCTTTACTTCTCTTGATTCCTCTCAATTGTTTTCACCTGAAACACAAGACAAACCATCATTATGTTTGAACTTAAACTCAATTTAAAGCCCCTTAGAAGAAACCATAATATGCCTTTTTAGAAAAATACAACAAGCAAAGACGGGGGGAAATTATCATTTTGTCATGATGTATGCGTTAATGGTTCTTAACTTCCTAGATTGAATCTACCAGGCTACTGTGCCTATACAATCAAAATCAGATTAAAAAACTATGTGTGATCAGAGAAACTACACATCAGCTTTCAAACCACTAAGCTTTCTAGTTAAAGCATTCAAGCATGAACGAAAACGTAAAGGAGTATAAAGAAACAGAATTACCTGAACCATGCCTGAAGCAAAACTACATCTAGGATGGAAGACATAACGCTGCATCCTCCTCGCCTAAAGACACAACATAAGGCTGAACTTTGAATGCTTCAGTTATTGTATAGCTGAGCTCGTAATTCACAGCCTTCGTCCCAAAGATACTGAACCTTCCTGCGCTGTTGTAAGCAACCTCGGCATCGGTACCTTTCCTGTAAACTACTCTAGCCCGGTTATTGTCCTTGTCAACTTCAGTCTGCGACTCCCTTATTGGTCCAAAATGCCTGAACATTTTACTCAGGCTCTTCTCAGGAGGTATTGTATCAGTTTCAGAAAACTTCATAATAAGCTCAGCTGGGGCATTCTCATCAAAGTTCGCCGGTTTGTCTGAGGCTGAAGGAAGAGGAATAGTGATCTGAGAATGCCGTCTCCTGTATGGCCGGCGAGTCTTTTTAACCTGAGAAGGTTTCAACTCAACAGGCACAACTTGATAGTTTCCTTTTTCAGTAGGTGGCGTTTGCTCTTCACCGCCATTATGGATCACCCTGTCAGTCCAGTATGTGTCACCCATTTCCTCAAACTCAAATGCTTTGGTTCCTCCTGCATTAGAATTGGATGGTCTACCTCTTTTACTGCTTACCTTTTCCGGGGTAACTTGCTGTGAAGCTGATGAGTTTCGGAAATCTAAGAAAAAGTCAGCAGCAAGGTCAGATACAACGTTCTCTTTAGCAGGATCTGTTGCAGCACAGTGAAGCTGGGATACAAAACTCTCAACAGAAAGATTTTTATCACCAATGTTACCACCCTTTAAAACTGATGGAGATCCTGCCATCTGACTAGCAGCTCTGGCTATGCTTGCACCGATCTTAAAGGACGGCCTTTGCGCAAAAGACACCTTTGGCAATGAAACAGTCTTCCTACCTTCTTCTGGCGAATCCTCACTCAGGACATCAGCCTTTCGTTTTACACCATTGGTTTTAATATCAGAATCAGTTCCATCATCAGCAAAATCAGAATTGTTTGGATTCTCTTCCATTTCTGTATCTTCCTCTTGGTTTGGATCAATACTTGGAGCTTCATGAGTACTGTCATCTTCCTTTCTCATTGCAACTTGTTGATCTATAGTTTGCTTATCTTCTTGGTTTTCGTCAGATCCCATAATTGCATCAGAAGTCTCTCTTGGACACTCTGCAGCAGCACGGGCTTCATTGGATTCATTTTCAACACCTTCAGCATTTAAGCTTAGATTATCATGGGATTCAGCGTCCACAGTGGCAACTTCCTCTGCCATATCAGTTGCTTTCTTATCCTCTTTCAAAGATACGTTCCCGATTTCGGTTTTAAGGTCTTGTAAATTTCCTGACCAAGATGATACACCACTGAAATCAATAAAGTTGGTAATATCAGAACTTGGATCAAAAAGAGCATTATGATCCAACGGTTCAACTTCACCTGGAGCAGCATCTTCAGTAGGACTGTTTGGATTTGCTGAATCAGTAGATTCAATTGTTCCAGTAAGATCGCTTGTCATAACAGCATTACCTTTCCGTTCATCAATTTCCATTTCGTTTACTACACTGGCATCATTCCCGTCAGCTTCAGCTATTGGAACATCTTGGGTTTGTACCACACTTGCATCAGTAGATTCCTCTGCCGCACAATCAACTTCCATGGCTTCTCCTTCTTTTTGGTTAACATTGGTTCTTTCTTCTTCACGAGATATTTGAGTAGCAGAGCTAACTTTGCGATTAGCTCCTGGATTTTCTTCGTTCGTTTCCCCTTCGCTTAATTGTGTAGACTCCTCTGGCATTTGTGCAGATTCTGAATGCTTAACACCTGTTGTCTCATTCCCCGGATTGCCCTGTTCATTAAGACCGACGTTTTCTTCCATCGCCTGTTTGCTATCGATATCAGTTTCGTTATTATCCTCTTCATTTTTCTTTGCTGATTCCTCCCCTTGGTCATTGTAAGGAAGACCCACTTTCACTTCCTTCTCTTGTTCGCTATCAACACCCATTTTGTGTTCTGCATCACAATCATTGCCGTTATCTTCGACTTCACAATTTTCCTTCTCATCAATCACTTCATTCCCACCAGTAGAGATTACACTCTCGTCTTCTCCAGCAATCCCATGACTTTCACCACCATTCTTACTCTTAATTTCAGACATAGTCGCCTCAACACTTGCAACATCAACTTTCACTTGTTTCTCATCAGAAACCAAATCATCCGTATTGACATCACCAGTAGCTGAACCTCCACCATTAGGGTTTTCATGAGTCACACTAACACATGAATCCACCAAAACCTCTACCGTTTCGACATCCTCACCATCTAGGGTTTGAGTTTTAGAAGATAGTCCCTTGCCAGCTTCCTCCTCCATGGGCTCTTTGCAATCACCAACAAACTCACTTTCCTCTCGCTGTTCCTCCATTGAGATTATCTGTTCCCAGCTCAAAATTACTCAGTACACAAAGAAAGCCCGAAACTTGGGACAGTGATTGGGGAAAAGGGTATTCACGAAAAGCATGAAAGGTTCCAAATTTCACAGACCAGAAGTGAAATTAACGATGGGAAATCTAAAATCGAAGGAATTACCTCTTTGGATCTTGAGAGAATTGGAGCAAAAGAGACAAAGGTGAGGGCTTTGGGTCTCAGTTAGAGAGACGAGTGTGGAGAAGAAGAAAAGGCGATGTTCG